TAAAGATTAGATATGTTGCTTTTAGATATTAAATCGTTTCATTTAGTTGTCAAATCAAAAGGTGAAATAGGAAATTTGCCAACGATAGAAAACATAAATAATAAGGAAACACCTCGATACCTATAAACTATCGGTCAGCTCTCTTTATTACGATATTCTATTTTTAGAAACGAACATCAGTTATTCGTTTGACGCTGTTTTGAAGAAGGGTTAACAGTGACTTTTTTTCACTTTCCCAAGATAAAATTACTGGAATTCTTCAGAATAGTTTTTTTCTAATAGGGAATAAGAACTGAATGCCGATTTAAAGATGTAATAAATGAATATATGCTTATAACCAAGAAATAACATGTAGCATTTTATAAGACACGAACTTGAACACACCTTCATCACAACGAGCATTGTAATTTATCATTATAATACAATTTATTAGAACAGACTATCTCGTTTTTTTGTTACATTAATTTAAATTGTAATTGAAATTTGAAGACAGTCAAACTGTAATATATATTACACATAGTCGAGCGTATCTTTTTGCACAGGAACATGCTCTGAGATCGCACCCTGTTATCCCGGCACATGTAGTAATGCGCAAAGATGTACTTGCTAGAGGTTTTACAGACACTTCTAGCGGATGCCTTACCTGTAAGTACATATTCCTATGCTCAAAAACGTAAATAAATATGTTTGTTTGTTTTGGTTTTGCGTCACACATCACTGTATATGTCTAATGGCGACGTTTTAACTGGTAGAAAAATACATCAGGTGCTCCTCCATGCATTATTTCAGGCACGAACGGGCATTCGTGGAGAATGTAAATACTATACGATATGTCGATCTAGCGTGTACACTACAGAAGGGGATGTGCGCATGGATTTGCATGTTGCCTTTCTTTAAACTATGTTGCATGTTGGCTTAAAACTTTTCTTCTTGATTTGTGGCGGAAGTATTTCTTTATTACTTCCTTACTTTTTTACTTATCATAGACTGGACTGAATTCGTAGTGGCATATCATATAACAACGTTATTTATTAAACTTCGCCATGCGCTCCCGCTAAAAAGCGTGTTTTCGCTCCGCGCCTGCCATTTCAACTTGTCAATTCTCGACTTTTTGTTTAACTGGGTCGCGAAATGTTTAGTTTGCCCTAAATATCCGAACATTCCAAAGATAAGATAGATCAACGCTAATCTTATATTTCTACCAAACACATAATATTATCACCGATAGTGTCGACCTATAACCTTTTAATACTTTTTATAATATCATGTTAAATATATGTTATCACTGAAACAATACACACTGAATTCTGAATTAGTTTTAAATATGATTCATTGCAATAGTTTGCAATCTTATCCAAAAGGTTTAATATATGCGATATTTTCACCACATTAAAGTTTCAAGTTACAACAACGCACCGGTTATAACAGAGTGCTGTGTAACACTGGCAAAATTTCGACGGATTGACAAGAAAGAGAAGTTAGGTTACATTAGGTTAGTATCCAATACTACTACATCATGATATATCACATTTAGAAAGAACTTGAAGTTTTTTTATAGGACCGTTAAAAAGAATAAACAACAACAAAATAACAGAACAAAGAACAATAATCAAGAATATTCAACAACGGTACCAAACGGCACAACTCTTTTTGAAGTTTTTGAATAGTTTAATATGATAAAATACATGATGTTTCAAATAACATCATATGGCTATTTAGATGTAAACATCACTATATTAAATAAATATTTGTATGTTTTTATATCAAAAGTATACCTTGCTCAAAAGGATCGAACAAGGACGTGGTATGGTGCAATCAACAATCGTTTAACTACGCTAAATTCACCATGAAGTCAATGTATCAAAAAGTTCCCAACTTGCCCCCTCCGCCGGAACATATTCACAACTACAGATTAGGAATAGTTTTCAGTGGACTGAATGTCAAGCACACTAAACGACCTGGTATGATTAATTATAAGTTGTATTTCTATCAGAATATGCGCATATGTCCTTTATATTCTTTTATTTATAGCTTTCGATGCAAAGATGATGATAATTATATATTCTTAGATGAAACCGTACTTTTAAACGCAAGAAACGAACGTACATTATATCTTAGAATATTTGCTCTTGACAAGCTGTATCGATTCCTTTTACTAACACTACATCATGTTGTTCTTTATTTATACTTGTCTTGTTTTCTTTCTTATATTTTTGTCATGTTTGCGACACATAACTCTTTTGCTATGATATAGCTCTATTTCTAACAAGTAAAATTTATGATATTTATATAAATATTTAGATAATAAAAACGAAAGCCATGTTGATTTCAACATGGACTACAAATGTGGAAACGTATCAGATGTATCACCTCAAGAGAACATTTCATCATGTAAAGATATCGAGGAAAACTATCAAATTCATACTGAACATGATGACTTGTAAGTTAGCTAGTCCACACGATATCCAAGATACAGTTTCAAAATGTTATGATGCTGTATACAATTTTAAATCGGCGTTCTCATACAAAGCTCAGTTGTTTGAAAGAAATGCTATGAATAAAAACACGTTTTGTAGATATTATGACTGGAAAAATTTGCACTTTACTTTTACATTTCCAATTAAATTTTTCTGAGCCTGATATATTCTTTATTAATTTTTGTTTTAATTGTTATCGGGTTATCTAACAATTAACTGATGTGATTTACTTATGCTTCTTTTAGTCATTTTGAAAGTGTTTTAAGGCTACAAAAGATTGTTAAAATGCGGCTTCTTCGTACATATGATCACAATACATTATATTTACCTCCTTAACTTTATTAAATTCCTTGAAATTCGCGGAGAATTTACAGCAAATACTCGTCGGGTTCTTTAGAAGAAAACAAAAACGATTTTCCTGTTATGCTCACATTCAAGTATAGTTTTTATAATGGTCTCTGATGTTGTTGTTCCAAATGAATAAAACACTTCCGTTTAAGTATTATCTAGTTTGACTGTCACGTTCTCTACAAAAAGTGGAGGCTTTAGGACGCTTTTGGACACGAATACTGGCAAAATAGGGTCAACACAAATCTACAAGGGACAAAGTACTACCAAAATCATAGAATTCAAGTTCGATTTCATTTCGCCTGAACATTGTTTCTGAAATAATATCCAGAAACAAGTGTAACAACGGGGAAAACCCATCCATGTTGGAAATGATATTACGCGGGTAGATATAGTTGAACACCTTTTTATATTCTAAATACAAATCTATTTAATACTCAATTTTCTTTTCTTTTCAAAATGTGTTATTGTAACTGTTTTGAAGTGTTTTTTTTTTCAATCTAGAAACCTATTCACATCAGTTGGGATTGATGGTCGGACGCTTTATCTGGAATAGCTTATTACTACCTTGAGGTTTTCAAGTTGGAACCAAATGCACACAATGAGCTTACGGAACTAGAGCCATTAAAGCTAATTCATCAGTTCAAAACAAACAAAACGTCCTCTATAAACTTTCCAACTTACTATCCTCCGGAAACAGGAATGTATTCCATACTTTTGCAAGTATCAGACAAAGCTAATAACTCCAAAATTGCAAGGAGATTGGTCTTATATGACAACGACTCTTTTATAACCTTAACTTAACCTGCCTTTAATCCAAACATGTCGATTGACGTGTCAGACGTAAAGATTGAAGATGGTGGTATGCATGTGATAACAGCAATACCTGAAACTGGATACATGTGTCTTCAAATAATGATACAAAAACGCGGATTGTTTTGAATTGGGAAACCACTTTGTGAACAGAATTTATGACCAAGACAAATTACTTAATAGAGTATTGACATACACTGCACAGTTTGTAGAAATACAAAATGACGGTGACCTTATCAGAAAGAAGTAGGTTATAATATTTATTTGCATTCTAATTCCCCCGGTGTCGTTACTTATTCTATATTGATGACCAAAGCAAATTATATAAAGTATATTTTTCTTAATCATTTGGCATATCTTGCTAAATCAAAAAGCAACCACACACTTCGCATGGAATACATTGGTAATGCATTTTTTTCAAAATTGAAACTAAATGCTTTAACGTGATTTTGGTGTAAATGTGGAATAGATTCATATAAATAATGTAACATTAATTGTATACACTGCATAGTAGCTTGTAGCGTCATATTTCGTATGGCAACTTTCCAGCTTAACTGGTAGAGGAAGCCCTCAAATTCCCTCCTTGCACCATTTCAGGCACAAACGGACAATTTTGTAGAAGCCTAGATTATCTACCTTCTTCATATGAAAGATATCAATATCACTAGCGACATTCGAACCCACATAAGTAATAGGCAAGTGGTTAAATTCGACGACTATAATCACTAGGCCAATTACGCAACCACACTTCTTTTTTTAAAGATTTGATTTTCCTTGAAGACTTGAATCTGTTTACGAAAAGTATGTGAATTTAACAGATGACGATGGGGCAAGAACACGCAGTGCTATTGAAAACATTCATGGAATTGTAAAATTTGAAATCAACAAGGTTTACACAGATGATAGAAAGGTACTAACAATAAATGTTATCCAATTATAAATTTGGTGAACTTATGTTCACATGACTTGAATACGTTTAATAAATTACGATACATTACATTAACAAAATTATTTCTAATTTACCTAGTGCTTATTTTGATATATCTAGGATTCTGTTGAGGGTTAATAATTTACAAACTTATAACAAATAATTACATTTTATTGAATGAAGATTCAAAGACGGAAACTATTATCAAACTAAAGTATCTTGACTAACTTAAAGCACCTTTAGATAACTTAGATTCTGAAATAATTTCTGTTTATACAACCTTATTCTTACTTTGCAACAGGTGCCACAATCAGGGTGGATAAAACACGATTTGTCAGAAAATTATGAAATTAATGAACAACTCGATGATGGTAGTCATGTTAGGTTATGGGTTCGAGCAACAGATATCATGAACCACACCCTTGCCGATTACACAGAAGTGCACATAGATAACACACCTCCTGTAGTAGCTAGTGATCATTTACATACAAATATTGTAAATGGAACTTATACACATACCTCAAGGTATTTTCTGTCCTTTGCAGTTAATTTAAGTCGCACGACAAAGATATTCATGTATTTTTCTTACGATTCTGCAATTTGGCTTGGATTGTGCATTTTTAATTATTTATTGCAGTTTGTCTCCCATTGGTAAGTGATGGAGGAAGTGAATTTTCCAGATAAATTCAAATATTAAAATGTATTATATTTTAAGTTGAGTAAAACGCGATTATTTTAAGAGCATTATGTACAGGAGCTGTTTAATATACCGTTGGAATATTTTAAACACTTCGATATTTTCTTGAAAAGGTTATGAACATACGCCAGTCTTAGAACTCTTAACAGGCCCCTCGAACACAGTATTCACTCCATATTACTCAACTTATGTTTAGTAAGAGTTGGAAATGCTCTCTCGTTTCCAGTCATGAAAGCTATAAAATGAATTATAAGTGCAGCTTACATGATGATAGCACTCTACGAACATATAAATATTACATGGGGCGAACTCAAAAAAGACAACGTTTTGATAATAAATGAAGTTGAGGTAAAAATAAAGATATAAAGGTTGTATCGATAGTATAGTATAATACAACATTTCACTGTAATTGACATTATATATCATTTTAGATTATCTCATACGTTTAGCGTACAAATGATACAATTTCAAATAAAAATGTATACGTTACACGCAAGTACTGGTATATAATAATATAATTCTTAAATTTCCAAAACAGAATAATCTTCAACGCATTAGATGATGACAGTGGTGTACATCGAATAGATTATAAACTGATCGTGGAAAATAACACCAATGAGCACCGCAGCGGTACAATTCCAGGCAATGGAAATAATGCAAGTAGACAAGAAATAATATTAGTTGTACGGTATGATTTCTAACTGTGTAATTATGTACAAGAATAATCAAATATTTCATATATTGTAACAAGCCACACTGTTCCAACCCGTTGTTTGATATACCTAACCTCATTCTATATAATATGAAGTATTATAACATAATTATCCTTTCGAAATAATTTTATTACAGTCTTCTGACGCTTGTGAACAAGTTGAGAGATGCAACTGTGTGTTGAAAACTTGCTTCATAGACTCTCAAATATTAGATATAGATAACTGTTGGTTTCTTGTACCGACGGAAGATTTACATCAATCTGCACGCATAGAAGTAAAAGTTTTTAACCAGGCCCTTCTGAATACGACATTTACAATACAGGTAAATAAGGATACAATTGTCAATGTAAAATGACAAAAGGAATGTACTGTAATGTATTTCAGTCTTTTTGCAGTTTTAGCTATTATTTTTCATTTTTCACATCAATTATAATTGTTCACATCAATCTATAGACTGAAATGTTCATATAGAAAATACATGGTTGATGTCGGGATGGAGAAGGTTTATCCGGTGAGCGAGAAAGTGTATCTTGGCGAGCTTTAGCGAGCCAAGATACACTTTTGCAGCGAACCGGATAAACCTTCTCCATCCCGACATCAACCATGTATTTGATTAATCCTGCTTTTTATCATGTTTTTAGAATAATTAAAACGTTTAATTATTCTTTTTCCCAAATAAAATAGCATCTATATGCAGTTTTGTTTTGCTGCTAAACATGTGACGTCATCATGTGACGTAATGACTGGAGATAGATAGGTTTATCCGGCAAGGCTTTATTCAGTTGATGATATAGACAGTAGCAGGATAAAATATTTATAAATGCAAATGCCGATCAGTAACACAACGTGAGCTCAATTAAAGGATTACTTTAATCCTTGTTACTGTTTTGCAGATAAAACACTTAACTAATCTGAAAGGACTTGAAGATTGTAAGTATTCCAAAGGTTTAATTACTATGCCAGTGGACGGAGTTTAAATCATTTTGTTTGGTTTCAATAAATGATTTGAAAAAAGATAGCCTTAAAGATCCTGTATGTTGTAATTGAGGTTATATACCACACTCAAATGAAATAATGTATATGTATATAATTATGCGTATATTTTTTTTTTCAAATTATCGAAGAATATGTAAACTATGTACTGCAAATATTTGTACATCATTCAAATAAATGCATATATTTTTCTTATTGAAAAATTTGACTTTATAGAAATAATTTATTATAACCTCACTTTATTTACATGAACTGTTAAATTTGGTACTATTTTTATAAATAATAGTTATTGGAACTTACAAAATTAATAAATCTTAATTTGATGACCTAGAACCATACAAATCTGTTACAGGATCTTTAATGCAGCGTTAATGAATATAACATTACTTTGGTATGTAATAAAAATATTAAGAACATGTCAAATAATTTTTGGTCGACGTGCCATCTTTATTAACTTGGTGTCTTTTTGAATATGAGTTATCTAATTAAAATAAAACTAAACTTAGATTCTGACCCAACTAATATTCGAGAGGAGAACAAATTCGTCCGAAGTGTAAAGCTAACATAGGACTTGCCTGAAGCGTCTTGTTACAGACAAGCTGATGCAAACGTCACCCTTTATACCTCGGATGATACGGAAAGAGTTGTAGTCGTTTACAATGAAGCCACCTCCGTTGACTTACTTGGACTTCAACCGGATCAAGTCTACAGTGTATCGTTGAATTTTGGTTACAAAGGAACACAGTTGGCTGCTCTTCCTTACACATTTAAGACTGGTAAATTTTACTTTTCATTTTTCATGCTGTTCATTTCTGTCTCAAAATTTTGTATATTTTTGGCTATAATAATTGTATAATTTGGTCATTTAGTTCCGAAAAACATTGATCTTCTTTTTTATTACTTTTTTATACATGTTAGTTTGTGTGCTGAAAATAATATATATTGCAGTTTAATTTCTATTACACTATTAAGCCACCATAACTGGTGACACACAAACATTCAACCAAAAGGATGTGTTAATTAATCTCAATTATCAGTATATATTTGGTTTTTATAGTTGTTTGAAATTTACACATTAATGTAATTAAGCTAAATAAAGATGACATTTTAAAGGGTGAAAAATACAACAAAAATGATAACATTGATCACAAAAGTTGAATAATTGTAGAAAAGTTTTCTTAATCGTACGTTCCTTTATCGAAATAATTGTAACATGATATGTCTCTGCTTTGAACACACGTATGTAAAAAATAAATGTTAAACAATACAATAAACCCTACGAGTATAAAACAAACAAAAACATTATGCTGCTTTCTTAGGTAGGCTTTTGGAAAATAATGATTTCGTAATGATGCGTTATTTGCTGATGAAGAAGACACTTACATATTTCTTTCAAACAGGCATTTTGGAATTATTATTCTCCGAATTTCATGAAATAATTTTGTAAACTTCATGTGGCAGATATATAGCTTTATGCTATCAATAGATAATACTAGAGTTTTCGACTTTTCTTGAAATTTTCTAAAAATATTTTTTATATATATAATTACTAGTATATATTTTTATAATATATTTTTATATATATATGGTATTATACGGTTTATATATATATATATATATATATAATATATATATATATATATATATATATATATTATATATATATATATATATATATATATAAATAAAACAAAAAACACAGTCCATGAGTTAACTTATTTAATTATTTGCCAACCGGTTTCTCTTATGATCATCAGGGCAAATGTGACGTCGTCGCATAGTAACGACGACGTTTTTGTGTACACATGTGTACGCATAATCTAAAAATAGTAACGTCATTATATAGTATTAAGTTTTGGATTAAAAACATCAATAAAATAGCGTTCTTTAGATAACCTAGCTGAAACGTTTTTACTGTTATAAAATGGGAAAATACAAAATTTCGGGTCTTTTTTAGAGCATTTATCTAAATGCTCACTTAAAAGTAATTGTCTGGTTGATGGGTCTCTTATCTGCTGAGCATGGACAGTTTTTCTGTTTCTGAGTTTGTCACCTGTTTGGCCTATGTAAAATTCTTTGCAGCCGTTGCAAACTAAAACATATAAAACATTTTCAACAGTACAGTCCATATTTTCTTTTGTATGAAATATTTTATTCTGAAGTTTTAAAGAATATCCTTCTATTAAATAATCACAGAGGCCACACCTCTGTTCGTTGCATTTTTTAACACAGGGCATTATATTGTTTTCTTTAAATTCTGAACTTATTAAAATGCTTTTTAAATTTGGTAATCGTCTTTTGCATTTTATTATGTTGGTATTGCTTATTATCTTTTTCATTTTTTCATCATGTTTCAGAATTTCCATGTTTGTTTTAATTATGCCAAACAATTCTCTGTTTTTCGGGTTACATGTTGAAATATATAAGCGCAGGCAGGATTTATGGTGAATATGAGCACTGTAGATAATATTTTTTTCACTTAATGGCTTAAACACCCATATTCTTAATCAAGGGAAACTGTTTTTACTTTTTGTTGACTATACAAAAGCTTTTAATTATGTAGTACGTGAAAGTCTTTGGTTCAAGTTGATACAGGACTTAGAGGAAATATTTTCAACATTGTAAAATCAATTTATGAGTCTGTTAAGCCTAGAGTAAAGTATTGAAATAAGTTTAGTGATGGATACACATGTTTGCTGGGCGTGGGACAAAAGGTGTGTTTATCTCCGTTTTTATTTTCAATGATTGTTAATGATCTAGAAGATATATTTATTCATAGCAATGCAGATGGAATAAATGTTAATATGTTCCAAATATTTATTTTGTTGTATACTGATGACATTGCCGAAGAATTGCAACGTAGTATAGATACTTTGTATGATTTTTGTATTAAATGAAAGCTTAAAGTGAATGTTTCTAAAACTAAAATTATGATATTTAGAAAAAGGGGATATATTCCTGGTGGCACAATATCTTATTATGATAATGATCCCATTGAATTGTTAGTAAGTTTTGCTCCCAAGGTATGATATTTACTAAAGGAGGTTTTACTTTGAATAAATACTAACTTAAGATTACTTATATACCTCTAAAACATAAGTTAGAATTGTTCGATAAGCTTGTATCCCCTATATTGAATTATTGTTGTGAAGTTTGTTGTTTTGCAAATAATTTAGCTATTGAGAAATTACATTTGCAATTTGCAAAAAAAAACAAAAAAAAAAACAAATAACTTGAACGATTACAGAACGATTTCATATAAGGCGAGTTAGGCAAAGTATAATTTAAACTATACAAATGTTTAAGACTTTCAAACATTGGTTACGAATTTTGCAAGCAAAACAAAACAAATATGTTTTTATTGTTTACAATTTATTGAAGACGGATGTAGAATTGTGTCCCAATAAAACAAACTGGTGTACATTTTTAGATGATTTACTTTGTTCTCCTGTATTTGTTGATGCGTGGATTTTTCAATGCGTTGGTGCTACTGATACCGAAATGTTTCCATCTGTTGTTCAACAAAGATTAAGCGATCAATTTATACAGAACTTGAATGCAAGCCTTAACCAATCAAGTAGAGCTCTATTGTATAACTCAATTTATTCATTTAGATTTCAACCATATTTGAAATACTTTAATATTCATAAATTTTGTCAATCATTTACTCGTTTAAGGTTATCAACTCACAGATTACACATTAAAGCCGGTAGATGGACCAAACCCACCAGAACACATATAAGTTATAGAAAAAAGTTAAAAATGTTATAAGGTAGAAGATGAATATCATTTTATTATTGAATGTGTAATGTTTATTGATATTAGGAAAAATACATTGCCAGAAAATATTGGATACGGCTTAGCATGTATAAATTTGTTGATCTTATAACCTCAGAAAATAAGAACTTACTTAAAAACGTAGGAATATATATC